GACTTTATAATATCTTGATCATGTATCAGGATCGACTTTATATCTTAGTCATATACAAAATATTATGAAATAAATTAATTTAAATATTTGAATTATAGCTTTTTGGAGGTCTTAAGTTTATTTTTAAGAAAAAAAAATAATTAATAAAGTTTGGTTTCATTGTAAGGTTCGGCTTTGTCTTCAATAAGTTCGGTTTCGGGCTTTCGCTTGCGAGCTCGAATTTGGTCTCTATTCTTATCGTCGTAGCTCTTTTGATATGACAAGCGAGCGTCGCGTGTGCGCTGGTAGTAGCGCTTCTGTGCTGCCTTAATGCGTTCTTTGTTAGCGAGATATTGTTCTGGTGAGTACGCCATCTTTGTATACAAATAACTTTATATTATCAGGATGATAAAAATATTGATGCAGCACTGAAATAAATCAACTTGGGAATATCGACATATTGGCGATCGTCACAACCCGCGCAAAACCTCTCCGATAAGTGGTGGCAAACATTTCTCAGTGGTCTTGGAAACATCTTGGTACCAGGAGGCAATGGTTGCGCAGTAGCGTCGATAGCTCGCCGCGACCGCTTTGAGAATCGTACCCTCGGGAGATCCAGTAGGACTACCAATTGATGTAAAATGCATGATACATTCAATAATCTCACCAAAACATAATATTGCTTTGTAACATACAAAATTATAGAAGGGTGAATACTATATTTTTCATTCAATGCAAAGCTGTTCTTTCTTGCATTCCTCTTCGTGGTCCGACAACGCCCCGTAAATCATCTCGCACACATCTCGCATCGATCCGGTGTCCAGTTCCTCCGATTTAACACTAAGCGTGCTCGAATCCATCAAAATAGAATTTTCACCACAGCGGTAGATGAACCACTTAATGAAGTCTGTCACGATGCCATACACGACAAAGAGTCCTTCGCGGTCGGCAACCGCTTCGCATCCGATGAGCGCCTGCACTTTCCCTTGATTGAAGTCGTTCTTCTTTGCTTCCACGATGCATATCTTCTTCGTCTTACCACGGGTGAGCACGAACTCAAAATTTCCGTTTGCGTGAACTTCGTTGCCGTCCACCGACTCTTCGACCTCTAGCTTCGCGTCGACAAACAAACTGCAAAGCATGATGAGTACGGGCGCGATAAAATGCTTTGCTTCCCTCGATGCTTCGGCGTATCCGTTCATAGCTTCCGCAGCGTATTTTATGTACTTGATCAAAAAGTCGAAAGCATGATCGGGAATCGGCTTGCGCTCCTGTTTATACCGTTCGTAGTCAAGCACACTCTTGACATCGCTCCATCGCACGTAGGAGTACCCAGTCAACGAACCATCCACACCGTTCGTCTTAGCCTTTTTGTTCTTGTCGAGGATTTCATTAAGTTCGCGCCAGCGCTTCCGTCGATTTTCGCTGTGAGTTATCGCCGAGGGCAGAGAGCTATCCTTGGCGACGTTTGACCCCACCAGCACGTGGATCGTCCTCTTCGTCGGAGCATCACCAAACAAGTCGCCAATCTCGTCTGCTGGATCCATTTCCACGTCCAGCAGTGCCTTTACTTTCTCGGGAATAACCCCACTCCGCATAGCAATCACGGCAGGATCCTTCGACTTCAGCCAGGCGCCGTCTTTTTTCGCCAGGAAGAGCTTTAGGTCCTTGGCTGGACCTGAGTAGTCAATCTCCACCTTAATCGCATCCTTCAAGTATCCCACCAGCTGACTCGCGTCGATGTCCACACGGAAAGCGCTTCCCTCTTCACCAACAATCGCACAGAAAAGCTTCAACATCGTTCTTCGAGCCGGCAGATTCTGGAATGGGAAGGAGAATTTCGGGCGTTTTTAAACGGGAAAGAAGGTTTGTGACATAGCTTTTCAATTAATGATGAGACGCCACGTCGCGCTGGTCCGAACTAATCCTTGAGGTAAAAATCTGCCGGCGTATAGCTTTTATCAATATACATGTAGTTTGTGTCGCGCGCGCGGTCCCGAACCTAAGATCCAAATACGGAAAGTAAAAAAACTGCCGGCGTAATGTTCCATGACCCACTGCTGCTAGGGTGTGATGAATGATAATTTTGAAGACAAGCTATACTCGAAGGGTGCGAGCTTGCTTTATTGCCCGCTTAGTGGCGGAGTACAAGTGAGCAGCAGCGCCAGCGTCTGATTGGCTCGATAACAGGATAATTTCGTCCAAATGATGCCTCAGCTAACGTTTTGTGTTCCAGCAACATTAACGTTTCAGCAGATATTTATAGAACGTGTCGATAAATGTCAGTTTTAGCCTCAGAATCTACCTCAACATTTTTAGGTCAACGATCGCATCATTTACCAGAACATTTTAGCTTGTTGTACACTAAACAAATACAACAAATACAGAACGCACATGTTGACTACGTGGAGCGCTGAGTACACATGAGCTACTTTCTAAAAAAAACAATGCAGCTTATGCTACTGGCTGATATTAAGTTTACGCTAAAGTGACGCTAGATACTCGATATAAGGATGTTTAAATGCCCTAGAACTCGAGCGGAGACCAAACGCCTGCGCAACGCAAACTCTAAATCCGTTTATGGTTCTGGTAAGAGTGAACATCTCTATCCAGCACTTATGGCTGGTACATTGTGGTTTCTGAACGTTCGCGAGATGGTTCAATTACTTGGAACATGTCGAACGCTTCGCGAGGATAAAAGTCTGGGTATTATGGCATTGAGTAATTGTAACATGGGGGTCCATTTATTGCAGGGATGTAACAGTGACTGGATGGACTTGTTCTTACAGAACCAGCTTAATTGTATTATAGAGAAATCTGAATTCTGGTCTGAGTGCAAAGAGCATCATTTTAATCCTGGAAGTAAGGAACTAAACGGGCACTTAATGCAGGATAAAGTGCCACTACGTTACTCAGAAGGTCAAGCAGCACATATGTTATCACTTCTTGGAGCATTAGAATTTCATCTCAAGCCATTCTACACTCGTGCTTATGTTGCGACACCATTTGGCGAATTCTGTCGTGCTCGGCCTGTGATTGTGCCGTTACCTTTACCACATAAGAAAAGAAAATGTGCTCCGTGGACGATGGAGCATGCTCAATCTGCATTGAATACTCTTGTCGATGGCCTCGGAGACGATTTTGCTGCATCAACTACGAAGTATGTATATGTCTCCGAGGTTGGCATGCATTGGGACAATATATTAGTGGGGAATCGGGACATTAAATCAAAATGTGGATTTTGCAGCGCAGCTCGAAAAGCGATTCGCGACTATCGAAAAATTGCGAAATCGATGTTCGATGAATTTTCCGACGTTTTGAGAGATAAACAATTGGAGTGGCGTGCACAAGGTCTGGATGATGATGAAATGCACGAGCGGCGTAGTTTATTGAAAGCCACCATGTTTCCCGAAGATATGTATCCAGACATTAATGCTGCTCAAAGCACTGCGGATGATATCCTGGCACATATTTGCGAAACTGATCAGTTTCCGATGGTACCGTTTGAAGGCATGGCCAGTTGTCTTGAACGGAAAAACGATGATATCTTTACTGCATTGGCTTTAGAATGTCAGGATCTTTGTGCGACATTTTATCAACCACTTAAACGAAGTATTGGAACTCTTGTGGCAATTCGTGGCCAACGACTGCATCGATCATGGATGGACACTGGTGAAGATGCAGCTCGCATTCGACGCGAATTAGTTGCTGGAATAACTTCGACTGGATTTCTGGTTGGTGTTTATATTATGAGAGCCGTAGAGGATCTTGTTTGATTCGACTTCTTCAAAGTAGCTAAAATAATATTTTTGTATTCAGTATTGAAAAGAATTTAGTTACGAAGGATACTGGTATATAATAGTACGCATTTTGATATAATATATATATGTAAAACTAGCAAAAAAAAAAGGTTACCTATTATCAGCTACTAAAAGAACCCAAATTCTGCACCAACCTCAGCTCATAATAACCTATGCCATCTTCGTCTCTCCTTTGTATCTCCAGTCTTTTAAAACCGTTTCAGATCGTTATCAGTATCTTCGCTTCCTGTATCAAAGTAAATGGATCAATCTTGCCTCTCTCGATCCACCAACTTTCCTGTTTCCACCTTCCTAATCTAACGCATGGTAATCAATATAAGCCCCAAATTGATCATATCCAAAATGTACCCAGTTTTCAATCTGCGTACAACAATGCGTCACCAACAAAGTGATCCAAACGGAATATCATTCTTGCTGCATCATCACTCTGTATTGTATTGTAGCTACGTAAAGCTCAAGAGTTCTCGTAGCAATTGCTCATCCTCTTTCTTAACAAATCGGCCTTTTACACGCAATCGTGAGTCTGCAAAATTCTTTCGTACATCGTACTTGACTTCTTTCCGCCACACGCGCTTTTGTCGTTTGTCAAGAAACTTTTCAATCCGTTTACGTCGCGAGTCAGGAGAATAAGCACCAACAAACGTGTGTTTCTGACCATCATTACTCTTGTCACTATTAAATGATCGACTCGTACCAGTTGTTGCTGCTCCAGGAATTCCAATTGGTCGAGACGTTGAAAGACTTGAGCTACTGGATGAAGTTGTACAATGTTTCGCACTGTCATTCTTACTAGTTTCTCGCGTTCCTCCAGACTCAGGTTTTGTTTTTTTGTCTAAGAAGTCGTCGGCAAAACTAAATCCAGCAGGTGGCGTGATACCAAGTCCCATTGATGGTAATGAATTGGGTAACGACGCTCCCAAGGATGAGCTATAGAATTCATGATCTAAAACATCTCGAGCTGAGACGTCAGTAAATGAAGAGTCGAAACCAAGTTCGTCCCATTCATCTAACGTCTGATTCCGTGTACCTGATGAAAACTATAACATCAAAGAACAAGAATGAGACCAATTGACCATATTTTACCACAAAGATACCCAAAAGTATCACCTCATCCTTTGGAGTATCACCTAACGATCCAACGTTTAAAAAGCCCAAGTCCAAATCATCTAATAAATCAATTGACGACGACTTTCTATTAAGTGCTCCACTGTCCAACATTGCTTCCAAAGTTGTTGGATCACCAGCGTCAAACTTCTCAAGTGCTTTTTGCAACGCTTCATCACCACTAATAATAAGATCCTGGTAACATTATGGGTACATATGCACCATTATGACAAAAATTATACGTTTTATACACTCAATCGTACCTTTAACACCCCTTTTTGATACCTGTCAATATATCCACGTTCTTCAAGATCCGAAGCACTTAATAGTCGACTACTTATACTACCACTACGCCCACGTTTTGTCAGGGGCATTGTCAAACTGCCAGGCGAAAATGCAGGGGGTGTGTGGGTAATCATTCCCAGGAAATCGTCGGCGCCCCAACCAATTGAGTCTTTACGTGGAATGCTGCCGTTAGTACCTGTAATTGAGACTGAGCTCGAGAAGGAAAGAACTTCTTCTTTTTCTTTTTTGATGGCCACAGGCAATGTTGGTGGTAAGTGACTCATAATCTAGATCATAGAATGTCATAATAACTCAATCAGAGACTATCTCATAGTTGCAAACGTACGAGTAATTCAAGTCAGTTACTACTTGTGCACAATTGCTTGTGTCGAATGCGACAGTGAAGCTACTTCCCTCTTTGCTACAAAGAAGAAGGATGGAGAGATGATTAGATAACGATATAAACATATACAAACAACTTGTAACTAAATACTTAATTGTACCTTAACAGAGAAGACAGTGTAGTAATAACGCGCTCAATGGAAGCGCCGCCGCTCTGTTCGTCAGGCGAAAATTGAGTGCTACGCCGACTCAGACCCCCCTTGTCTGTCAAAGTCGATGCAGTACCTGTAGAACTTGGTACTCAAATCTGTGTCTCATTTTAGTAATAAGACACAAAGAAAAGCCAGAGCTCGGACTAGATGGTTACTTTGGTGAATATTAGGTACAGTAAGATTAGTACCGCCGCTTATTACTGTCATCATGACTTGGCACCGCTAGATCGTAGTACTAACTCATGTGTAGCAGCTGACCCAATTCAACCCGCCTCTCCACCATCTTGATGCTTAATCATGTGTCTATCACACCATGCTGATCGAGAATGGTAATGCAAAACATTCGTCCAAGAACCCAATCATCACAAAGACGCGCAACAAAGAATTAATTTAACATTAACAATAAGGTGATTAAATGTGACATCGACACTTCTGCAACCTAGCCATCCATTTGATCAGACCATATGACATGCAGGGTACCCAGACAGGACGTTAGCACAAACTTTCACTGTATTTAAGTGAATGGATTAGATAGCACAAACCATACTATGAATAGGAACAGCCAGTTGAATTTCTCATCAGCTAACTAATGCTCATGGTAGCCGGATCATGTAACCTCCCGGATTTATGGATGATGTAGTCTACACAAGTACAATCTTTAACAAGCCATCAAGAACTGTCAAAGCTCATATTTGAGACCGCAGAAGAGTCTGAAACCTGATTTGGACCGGTTTCATATCGATGAATTGATGTTACATCAACAATTATTAGATTCTAGTAGGTTTTATACACAATAAAAGACTAAGTTTCCACATTTTTTTCTATCTTTTCATTCTCATACAATCTTTTTGAGCAAATTGTGTATACCAATTGACCAAACAGCTTTGAAATATGAGTAGAAAAGTGTGAAATTAGCAAAATAGCAGTATTAGTTTGGAACCGGCTTGATATGATGCTTCGAAACTTGTGGTTAGAATAAACCGACTCACAACTTTGAGCTGACTCTTAGTACTTATTGAAACCTTAAAAGCAGAAGATGATATATTTGTAATATGAACACTTGATACAGAGGATCTTCAAGAAAAATATTCGTGTATGGCTTGCACCCAGTTTTTGTCGATTATCTGGAGTGAATACATTTTGCTTCAAGGATATTTAGAGGAACCAGCATTTGACAAAATATGTCGCGAGCATTTGCTAAATTCTGCATTGTCGTACTTGATGGGACATGGAATGGATCAATTTAGACTGTTCTCCCCAAATTTGAAATCTATTACATTACGATTGCATGTAGCTTTTGAGAAAAAGAAACTTGACTTTATTTGTGATTCTATGCTGATTTAATGCGTCACTAGAAACGACGATTATAAATATCCAATTTGAATTGCTGTGTGAAGTGAGCAGAAATCAACCGTTCGAGTACTACAATGCATCAGAAAATGCTAGATGCTGGATGAAGCATAACATTTATTTCATGCTTCTATCTCACTTATGCACCTTGATATCTCTTCTGAGCCTACCAGACCAATGAGCGGGTGCCAAAATCAACACATGTTACTGCTACACTTACCGGATACGTGACCGTAATTTTTGCATCATCGGATTTCCGGAACATGCATAACGGCGTCAACTTCAAAAAAAACACTTTTTGCTTATGTGGTGTCTAATTGAGTGTCCGATTTCTTAATATCCGGTATTGTACACAACACTAATTGAGCTCAAGTCAATACTTTCACCTCACAACGCCTCGATGTCTACTGTTTACTCCTCCGAAGCAGTACAATCATCAACGGTCATTCCAATGGAACGACCTCAGATTGCGCGATCTCTCAAAGATGCGGCAACGCCTGCCATTCTTGTATATTCATTATGCGTGGAGTTTCATTATGCGCGGAAACTCTAATCGTCCCAAGCTGGCCGTCACGTGTCTGTTGCGAATCCTGCTAGACTTCAATCTCCGGTCTCTTTGTAGGTACGATAACCAGAGAGTCGCCGCAGACACGCCAAGCCGCAGTGCTTGGTCGCACCAACCCAGGCATCTAGCCTTTATACGCCAGGATAGGCCACGTGGGCTGCAACGATTAAGATTCTCTAGTCGCTATTTGGCGCTTGTACGCCAATAAGAAGCAAAGTTCCTCTAAGATTGTTGCAGTAGCAAACGCCGCTCAATTAGAAGCCATTACAGACGCACCTAATATCGAATCTCATCATATCTAGTCAGCGTTTCAGATTCTTTGCCTCTCGGCCCAAAAGGGTACTAATGTAGTTTAAAAATTTACTACACTCTCCATGTTTGCCAACAGCCCCAGAGCTCAGTTGCAGCGAGACTGCCGTAGCTCTTTACTTAGTGAAAGCTAAGCCAAGGTCATCGACCTTATGTTCTTTTTAAAAACCAGCACTAGTGTAGCGGATCGCAATCCGCGACTTCTAAGTGCTAAAGACCTTAACCAAGGCAAACGAAGACTTCTGTTCAAAATTGAAACTGTATTCGATTGTTTTAGTTGCGGCGGTGCCGCCAACATCTAAAGCGCTAAGTTTTCTTAATTAATACAGTAATCCCTAATTAATACAGTAATCCCTAATTAATATAGCAAGCCTAATTAATATAGTAATATGCATTACTACTGTCAATCCTGCCACGTGGGCTTCTTGTTATGATCTAGCCACACCCCTGTGTGATTACACTAACATGTGTTATACAAGGTCGCACAATCTTGTGCGACCCTTCTTTCTTACAAGGGTACGTGTAACCCCGTTACACGCTCTCCTATTAAATTGTGAACATCCCCGATTCACATTTACCGGGCACCTCATACGAGACTCGCGTGTCTGAGACACCTTACCTTCTTTTGAAAACAACTTTGTACATTCTCCGCTCTATGAGCCCTGTATCTACGACACGCAAAGACACCACCTCGCTAGTTGCGAGAATGCCCGTGGGCAAAGCCCTTCTTCTTTATCTGTACAGAGTGCATCCCCTGACAATACGTCCGCGGCTTCACGGGAGCTCATCCCAAGCCCTCGGCAACTGAGCGCAACACAACACGCCCGCCCCAGGCGACGAGGGTCTAAGACAGAACCGTCCGTGGATAAGAGCGCAGGAGAGCCGCCCTGTGAGCAGCCTCCAATTGCTGCCCCTGTGCCTCGTCGAGGCGATTGATAATAACACCACTTCCCCTAGAAACCGAGAAATTGAGGGATGAACATGGTGTCCGCAGGGTTCAAGCTGGGCTGACGTCGCGCCGTTGGCGCACCTCATTTATTCCTCGTCATATCATGCTGGGAAAGGAGTATTCGACTCGTGGTCGACTTTCACCAAGTCATCGACAGGGTAATCGTTTGAAATACGGCTTTTGCTCGGCTGATCCTGCTACTAAAGCGAAAGACGCGATCACTCGATCGTTAGACGTCTACGGAGCTGAGCCCCCGGCCACTACACAAGCTGTGTTTGATCAGCGGAAAGCTCTGCGAGCTCGCTTTTTGGTACCCCCAAAAAATTCAATGGATTGGTACCGCGCTCGACTTCGAGCTCAAAAAAGGATACTCCTGTTCCCACAATGCGGGCCATCTCTGTGGTGCTTGCCATGGGCAAAAGCGCTGCAGATGATGATGAGCTCTTTAAGCGATGGATGCAGCGGCACCGGAAGCTTCTTTTAATGTCTGCCTTACAGCAAATCCACAAGGAAGTGGGCGTGCGCGTTGAGCGTCATCTGATATATTAGTTTGCCAAACTCAAGGCTCAACGCCGACATCCCGCGTAAAGTTACCTTGCGACATATGGATCAATCCATAAAGCTCACGCGAGCTCTGTGGTTTCCCACACGGGTGAGTCTATGACCACAGCAGCTCACGGCCATAACTTGAGCTCGGCTCTTGATCCTCCGGCTTCCCGGGCTACTGCCGGAAAGCGCAAAGCGTCATGATCCTTCTGATCATAAGCGCTGGGCAATCTTGCCGAAGTGGCACCTCAAACTCCTACGAGTTCTCGAAGTTTGGGTATCCCCGCCACGTCACAATACGTTGGGTTATACCTTGTCGACAACGTCGACCCACAAAGCGTTCCACGTGGTAGTGGACGCCGCCATTCTCATTGAGAAGAATCAGCGGTGGACGATGACGACTTGATCGATCGCCGTCTGGTGACTCGCGATGCTCTTCGATAGTTATAAGACAAAGTCCGTCGTCATCGGCACGCTGCCAAGCATATCTCCGAGGGCGCCTACCGCTGTGCGGAAGACCTCAAAGGGTAAGAGTACTTTGTGCACCGACTGCCTTGCGCTGGGGATTATCGTACTCTGTCGGGTCGGAGTGGCTCCTAGCCGTCGAGCAGCCGAGTACGTCACTTCGTGGAACGTGGAGCGCCTTGCGCCGTTGGAAACGGCAGTTGCTGCACTCCATGCACAAAAACCGTTGCTGGCTTAACTTCTAGGTGGACAAGTGCCTTTAGACGCCGACCCGGCCCCAACGCTGCTGCGTTCACTTGCGTCGGATCGCGGCACGGCTAAAGCAAGTCCGCACAAGACACCGGGTAGGTGCGGATCCTCCTCGAAAGGTTCAGCGTACACGCTAGGCCTTGCTTGGCCACGATCTTAACCGGTTCAGTAAACCGTGAACGCAGCTTCGTCTTAAAGACAGCAGAGACTGCATGCGTAAGAAGATTTTTAGCATTTAATAAAACCAGGTCTTCGACCTCAATGTTTTCATCATTTCTTCTTCCTCTTCAGTCTACATATTCCTTCTGCATGTCTTGGCTTTCAACCATCACACCGCGAACGTGTCTCAAGACACTCAGTCTGGCAGATAGGAAGTCCCCGACTTCTTTACGCGCGGTGAGGGGTCTGACATCAGCTAACTTTTCGGCTATTCCCCCCACCAAGCCCTGAGCCATGGGATAGCAGCGTCAGCGGGATGCGAAATTTCACAAGCCCATCCACGTAGAACGGCGTGTAGCCAGCAGATAATTGCACGAATTGTTCAGAGCAAACTCTTGTAGCAGCATGGCGCTCGAGCGCTTCAGCGTCTCAGCGCAGACATTGCAAAAAATGTCTTCAACGACGTGATTCAAAGCGCTTAGCTTGAACATCAGTTTGCGGATGGTCCGCTGTTGACATAGTCAAGTTGGTGCCCAGCACCCTGAAGATTGTAGACCAAAATTTTCCAGTGAAGCGCGTGTCCCTATTCGGGAGTCCATGTTGTCGAAAGACAAGATT